AAAAGAAATATAGTTTCTAATGATAAATCTTGCATTCCTAGCTTAATCAATAATTGGACAAAATATATTTTTTTACATACTACTGATCTGATTACTTAGCATTTAGTTTGTGACTTTCATGTATTTGTTTATAATTAATATTGATTTATTATTCTTTTGAGAAATTTGAGTCCAGATGTGGTATAAATGTTGCATCTTCCAAGTTTTACATGATTTGCAATATTTTGTAAAGATAATTAATATGGTTTGGATATTTGTGCCCTCCAGATCTCATGTTGAAATGTGACTTCCAATGTTGGAAGTGGAACCTGATGGGAGGTATTGGGTTATGGGGTCAGATCCCTCATGAATGGTGCTCTCCACAAGGTAATGAGTGTTATTCAGATCTGGTTCATGGGTTATCTGTTTTTTAAAGAGTATGGCAACCCCCACCAACTTTGCTCCCTCTCTTGTCATGTGATTGTCAACTTCCCCTTTGCATTCCACCATGAGTGGAAGCTTCCTGAGGCTTCACCAGGACCAGATGCCAACACCATGCTTCTGGTGCAGCCTGCAGAACCATGAGCCAAATAAACTTCTTTTCTCTATAAATTACCCAGCCTTAGGTATTCAATTATATCAGTGCAGAACAGGCTAACACAACAATAATTATTTGTTCCTTGAGGTGGTATTAAAACTTTCTTTTTAAGTCCTTTTAGTTTGGTAATTACTGAGGCATAGCTTTTTAATTCTCTATTAATACAAAATGGAAATCAATAAAGAAAGAAAACAACAAAAAAAATCTCTAAACGTATGGAATTAAACAATATACTCCCAGTCTATGAGTTAAAGAAGAAGTCTCAAAGAAAATTTTAAAAATACTTAGAAATGAACAAAAATGAAAATACAACATGTAAATATGGGATTAATTATACGCTGAATGTGTCCCCCACATAAAAAATCATATATTGAAATTCTAGTCCCCAATGTGATGTTATTAAGAGATGGGTGTCTTTGGGAGGTGATTAGATTATGAGGGTGGAGCCCTCATGAATGGGATTAGTGCCCTTATAAGAAAAAACAGGAGATAATTTTTCTCTAGCCATGTGAAAATACAGTGGGAAGGTGGACACCTGCAAGCCAGAAAGAGTGGCCTTATCAGACAGTAGGTCTTCTATCACCTTGACTGTGAACTTCCTAACCTCCAGCACTGTAAGAAATAAATGTTTGTTTTTTAAGTCACCCAGTCTATGATCCTTTGCTGTTGTAACCCAAACTAACAAAGACAGGGAAACAGTCAAAGCAGTGTTAAGAGTGAAATTTTTAGCCGTAAGTGCTCACTAGAAACAAATTAAATTCCACAAATTAATAATCTAAGCCTCTGGCTCAAGATACAAGAAGGAAAGCAAAATATACCTGAAAAAGATGGAAGAAAAAGTAAAGATTAAACAAAAATCAACCTAATTTTAAACTAGAAAATAATAAAAGAAATTAATGCAATACGGCTCAATAACCAAAAATAAAATTTGTAAACCTCTAGCAGGGTTCACAAAAATAAAAAGAGAGAAGTTAAAGATCACCAGTACCAGAAATAAAAAGTTTAGTTTTACTACAGCCATTAAAAAGATAAGAGAATGCTACAAACAATTTTCTGCTCATAAATGCAACAACTTAAAAGAAATGAGCCAACTTCTCTAAAACCATAAACTACCAAAACTAAGCTAAGAAGATAAAATAAGTGATCTAGATTGTTCCATAGCCATTCAAGAAATTAAATTTATTACTTAAAACCTCTCAAAAAAATGTCTAAGTCCAGATGGATTCATTGGGGAATTCTACCAAACATGTAAAAAAATTAACATGTGTTTCCCACAATTTCTTTCAGAAAATAGAAGTAGGCAGAACACTCTCAACTCATTTAATGAGGCCCATTGTTTCTCTGATATCATAATTAGATAAACACAGTCTAAAAATAAAGAAAATTACGACATCCTTATGAACTTAGACACTAAAATTTTCAACAAAATACCAGCAAATCTTGTCCAACAATATGTAAAAATAATTATACACAATGATCAACTGAGATTTATTTCAGTATGCAAAGCAGAATCAACATTTGAAAATCTGTGAAATCCATTATATCAACAAGCCAAAACAGAAAAATCACACAATCATATGAAGTGGTGCATTAAAACATTTGATAAAATTCAGTACCCACTCATAATACAATCTCTTAGCAAGTTAAAAATAGAGGGAAATATGCTCCAATTGTGATAAAGACCACCTACAAAAATTCTACAGCTACCATCATGCTTAAGTGTAAAAACCTGAAAGCTTTCTCCCAAGATTGAAAATGAGAGAAAAATATCAGGTGTTCACGATCTCCATTTGCAGGCAGCATGATGTCCTACCAGAAAATCTCAAGAAGTCTAAGAAAAAGCAATAACTCTAGAATTGATAAATGAATTTAAAAATGTTGCAAGGTACAAGATCAATGCAAGAAAACAAAGCACATGTCTACAGGTTAACAGTGAACATGCCAAAAGCCTAACAGCATTTACAACCCTTTCAAAAAAATTTAAATGCTTAGGTATACACTGAACAAAACATGGACAGAATTGGTATACCGAAAATTAGAAAAAAATGATGAAAGAATTCAGAGAAGACCTAAGTAAATGGAAAGATACTCTGTGTTCAAGGATTGGAAGACAACATAAAGATGTCAATTTTCCCCAAATTGAGTTACAGGTTTAATACAATTCTTAACAAAATCTCAGCAAAGTTTTTTTTTTTTAGATTAAACTTGTTGAAAAATTTATATTAAAAGGCATAAGCCTAGGCCCTAAAGTAGATCAAATGGTCTTGATCAATAAGAATAATTCTACCCAACAGTGAGTCTACAGTAACCAAGACAGTATGGTACTGGGGTAGGGACAGACACAGAGATCAATGGAATGGAATAGAGAATTAGTAAATAGATCTACACAAATATGTTCAACTCATCTTTCACAAAAGTGCAAAAGAAATTAAATGAAAAAAATATCTTTTTCAATGAATGGTGTTGGAGCAATTGGACATCAACAGGTAAGAAGAAATTTTGAGCCAACCCTACACTTTATACAAATGCACTCAAGTGGAAATGTAAAGGGATTAAATAACTAAAGTAATCACTGAGTGGCAAAAAATATTTGCATTATACATAACTAATACACACAAGATACAGAAATAAAAAGCCAACCCATCTTTACAAAATAGAAACACATAATTGAAATGTGAGCAAAGGGCTTGAAAATAAATCTAACACAAGGGGAGGTTCAAATGACCAATAAAAGGTGCTCAACTTCATAAGTAATCTAGAAAATGCAGATGAAAAGATAATAAGAGATACTGACACCCACCCGATTAGCAAAATTAAAATAGTCTGCCAGTACCACTAATGGTGAGGATGTGGAGCAACAGAAACTCTCATGCAATACTGGTCAGGATAAATATTAATGCAATCCCTCTGGCAAACATTTTGTTGTTATCCAGAGAGTTGAAAGTATGTCTACCCACTAATCATACTTCACGGGAAAAATCAAAACTTCTCAGATACGTCCCAGAAGACATAGATAATAATTTTCATAGCAGAATTGGAATTATTAGTAAAAAACGAGACACAAACTAAATCATCATCATCAGTAGAATGGACAAATATGTTCTGGTACACTGTAAAATGTAATATACTGTTTAATGAATCGTATGTTATGAACATGAATAAGGTACAGATCAACATACAGTAGGATTTACCTTCTCAACTGGACATTGAACAAAGAAAAAATTATATAAAAATGTGACTCCTTGTTTATAAAGCTTAAAAACTTAACTGGGAAGCATACATGGATAGCAAAACTACAGTGAAAATTGAAAATTGTGGCATTCTATCTCTGGCTGGCGTGAAGAGGCGTCTTGTGACTGGGACATATGGGGCACCTGGGGAGTTCTAGCAGTCTCCCATTTCTTATCCTCATGGTGGTATTATATGTGTTTCTTTTAAAATTACATAGATATATTTTATTTATTCTTTTGTATATAGGATATATTTCACAATAAAAATGAATATACTAACAAATTAGGAAGTAAAACCGCAAGCAAATGAAACCTTAGCAGAAAGTTTTGAGGACTATGTGTATCATTTAAGAACATGAAAAAAGATCTCTTAACCAAGAAATCTAAAACTTTCTTTCTTCTTTCTTTCTTGTTTTGGTTTATGTATATTTTTTGAGTCTAGTATTTCTCATAATTGTCCTTCATATTCTCCAGGCCTGAGTCTTTGCAGTGAGACAGGTGCAACAATGAAAGAGGGACAAGGCCAGACCCCCGTTCATGCTCTGCCTCACTTAGCCACGGACTGCGTCAGAGGGACTGGGCAGGCCCATACTGAGGTGTTCCTTCAGCCTCCCATTGCTTAACTATTTATTTAACAATTGTTTAGTGGAGAGGCTGGAACAGGAAAGAAAGCAAGAACTGGGCGGACTCCTCCTCCCTAGAGAGTAGTTGAGATGCAAAGAGTTGTCATTTAAACTTGCCCCTAAGGGTTCTGATTCTCATGCCAAGCATTTTAAATCAGATGAAAAGAATTCTGTTAAATATACCCTTTTGCTTGAAGTGGCAAAGATTTTTCTAACTTGGACATCATGACATGAAGAGAAAATGGAAATAAGTTGCATTCAACTCGGTGAGTTAAACCGACCCAGCAGCGCATGGCCCGCAGTGCTCAGCCCTGGGGCTGTCAGGCCCTTCAGGCCCCTGCCTGGGCTGAGAGGGTCCACATTTCACAGTCCCTGAGTGCACACAGGCGGTCCCATTGAGAAGCACCACTGTGACGCTGCTCTTTCAGCATTGCCCGTCTGGAGATTGCTTCCAGCATACCTCTTTCTCGCATTCCACTCTTACCAAACCATCCTTAAAAGTATATGGCTGGGGGCACTGGACTTTAAGGGATTTGAAAAGAGTAAAATATTTGAAAATGGCCAGAATACTTCACGAAGAGGCAACAGAGCTTTATTGTTGCTCGAGGTAAAGTGGGAAGGTGAGGCGAGGATCCAGGATAGGCTCTTGGGCTATGACAACAGACAAAACACTTCACAGGGCGTGTCAGCCCATGGAAAGGGAAAAAAGGGTCAGGAGAAGCATCAGTCTGGGACAGGTCCTGGCTGCAAGTTTCACCATAAGGGTTCCTCTGTGATGTTCAAGGTCTGGTCAGCAGCAGCCCCCAGAGCTGTGGCAGCAGCCAGAGCCCCCAGAGGGTTCACTGTCACAGCAGTCTGAGCTCTGGTGCCGGCGCCGGTGGAAGAGACGGGGCCTGTGGTGGCTCAGGCAGCAGCCACCACCGCCAGAGCTGCAGCAGCCCCCAGAGCTGCAGCAGCCCCCAGAGCTGGAGCCACAGCAGCCCCCAGAGCTGGAACCACAGCAGGAAGAGACTGGAGGTGGGCATGGGGCTGGGCACTGCGGTGGGCATTTGGGGGGACACTTAGGTAGACATTTTGGGGTGCACTTGGGAGGACACTTGGGAGGGGGCTGGCACTGTTGCTGGTTTTGCTGGTAAGACATGCTGGCAGGAGTTACGTCAACCTAAAAAATAATAATGAAACTCTTTAAATATTTAAAACCAAAGATAGTATTGTATCTCTTCTAAAATCAATGCGCAAGTAGAAGAACGATATTTAGATCATTCAGTCACATCAGTAACCTGATAAACAGCTTAAATCTTTCTTCCAGATGAAAGTACACAGATTAAAAAAAAATCAACAGAATGAGCTGCTTCTTCTTCCTTTCAGGGGGAAGCTGGTATTGCTCTATCCTCACAAGACTGAGTAGAGTATTCACGGCTCCCTGAAATATCTGTTCTCTTAATAAAAGCCCTAAGGACAAGCTGGGTGTTGCAGGGCACACCCGGGGTTTCTTTGGAAAACATTTCGCAATGAAAACTCCAGATAAAAGGGCTGGGCTTGAAGTATTTGCAAATTTCCATGGTGTAAATATGCCCAACATGACAATTTTGAAGTTACCAGTGTGAAGTCACTGAACTCAAAATTGGAAAAGTTGAGCACAGTTATCTGTCCCCACCTATATGAGCCCAGTAAGCCTCAGAGCCTCAGTAGATTTGAGGCAGACTGAACCCTATTCTTGCTCACTATGGCAAAGCACAAGCACACGAATCTCTTTCTCCAGCCTATCTCCCTGTCTCTCCCTCTGTCTGGCTAACGTCCCTCTTGTCTCCCATGTTCCCACTCACCCTGGTCATACACAGG